TCTATGTATCACTCCCTGTCTATGTATCACTCCCTGTCTATGTATAACTCCCTGTCTATGTATTACTCCAAGTTTATGATATAAATTATAATGAATAACCTCTTGTTAATTTACATACATGCAAAGTAGGTTTTCTGTGAAGCCAAGGGAGGGTACAACACTCTGGTTTGTTAGTAGTGGGTAAGCAGGTAGCTAATTAATACATCACCATGATTATTGTGTAGCTTATCGATTTTGAAATTATTAAATATTCACACATCAATTACAGTCAAACCTGCTGGTGAGTCGACTACCTCTATTAAGAGATGACCTGTGTTCCCCTTAAGTCACTTTTGAACCTTACCAAATCATAGACATGACAAATCCATTTTAAATATGTTGGGGTGAATGAGTAAATGTTTGAGAGGTGACAACTCAATCTCCCCCTATTCAGAGTCGGCTACAGAAACTTTACTTCTGGTACTCACAACATTAACTCATCCACCCCTGAAATTTCATAATGAATTCATTATCAATGAAAAACTGACAGCTTTGTTTTAACATTTGTCTTACTAGTCAGTTTGTTATCTTTCTATGGCCAGTATGGAATATGTAAATCTGAAATTGTAGAATTATATAAATGCTCTTTTTTAAGATAAGTAGGACTTTTTCAACACCAAATGTACCCAAAACACTGGTAGCTAATAACTAGCCATATTATGATCATTTTCTGACATTCTGAATTTTTCAAATAATAAAATTACTGTTATTTATCCAAGTGTTTCTTATTAATTTTCTTTTAAACACAATTTTTTCTTATCATTTTCAGAACAATTTCCAGGAAGCTAACAGTCCCATTGTTTAGATATACAGGAAAAGGCAACAAAGGGGTTAGTGTCTAGTGTTTTTATATATGTGTACATTATTCATTATTGGGGGAATATTGGGGAATATCTCTCTTTCTGGACACTAAGTTACCTAAACGTTTTTCTTTAGTTTAAAAGATTCGGTTAATACATCATTAATATTATAATTACAATCAATTCTGTTATGGTGAAAAATTATATAACTTTTAGTACTTTCTGATTATAATTCTAGCTATACGAGGTTACAATATGTATACATAATTGTTATTTCCAAAGTTAAGACATTATTTGTTGATAACATTAAGAGTTTACCTGTTCCTGCGTCTCTTCTAAGGATTTGTCGCGGTTGACCGGTGGGGTCGTAGACTTGTAGGACGTATTTACCTCCCAGTGTTTACGTGGCATTGTCGGCGTCGTGTTCACAAAAAAGTCCCTGTTAAACTGTGAAGTCACCAGTTTTTTTGGTCCAGTATTAACAACCGTTACCACTTTAACTTTCTGACGTGTTGGTGATTGTGATAATTTCTGCTTCGGTTCCACTTTCTGTTGTACTTCCACGTCCTGTGGTGGTTCTACTTCCTGTGGTGGTTCTACTTCCTGTGGTGGTTCCACTTCCTGTTTAATATCTGACTCAGATAAACTCTTGAATGTATCCACCGTCACTGGAAGCTCTTTGACTTGAGAATCACATGGTTTGTTATCAACTATTGAAGACGATGGAAGAACAAGTTCTGACTGCAACGACATGTTCTCTGTCCTGGAAACACTTCCATCATTCCTCACATTTAAAGTGTCTGTTTCACGAGCTGATGAAGCTTTGACCGAGGTTTTTGGATAGATGTAAGCACTGTAGGACTCCACTGGATACGATGATGAGTTGTACCACTTGTTCTGGTGTACCAGAGGTTGACCTGAAATTTCCTGAAGTTTGGAATTGCTGTTTGATGCGACCATATTTGAATTAGAACCTCGACTTTCCCCCTCTTGGCGAGGAGTACTTGTTGCTAGGCAACCATCGTCTTCTTTTTCAGAGTCAATTGTCTCCTTTGTGGAGTTAAGAATGTTTAATGTTGATGATGTTACATGTCGCACATTTTCAGCAGCTTTTTTCTACAAGAAAAGAAGAAGATGGTATAAGTATGTGTGTAGCAATCTGGTGAAATAACACTTTTATGATTGATGAATGTTTTGATAATATAACATGTTCTAATTACATTGAAATATTAAGATACAAATGTGTCAGGATGAAACATGCAGTTATTTGCTTTAAAACAAAGAATGGTAATGTGACCTTGAAACCCAAATCAAAAGTGACCTTGAACCAAAAATGAAAAAAGTGACATTAATCCCAAACCAAAAGTAATCTTGAATTCAGCCAAACTATAAGTGAATCCTTTCTTAAGCAAAAAGCTACCTGAAACTTTAAATTACAGAATTTTATGGAAATTTGTATTTTTGTGACTGTTCCTCAATGATTTTGATGAATGAAAAAACAATAAGTCCATTATTTAATTTAACTATAATGAATATTCAGGAGATATGGGAAGACCAGCTGTCTACAACGACCTTATAATTACACCTCTATCAACAGCTTTTGTATTATTCTTCATGTGGTCTCTACAGACAGGTGTTCTTAGTAGACAGGTGGTCTGTACAGACAGGTATTCTTAGTAGACATGTGTTCTTGATAGACAGATGGTCTGTACAGACAGGTGTTCTTAGTAGACAGGTGGTCTCTACAGACAGGTGTTCTTAATGGACAGATGGTCTGTACAGACAGATGTTCTTAAAAAACAGGTTGTATCTACAGACAGGTATTATTAGGAAGCAGGTGGTCTCTACACACAGGTGTTCTTGAAAGACAGGTGGTCTCTACAGACAGGTGTTCTTAACAGACAGGTGGTATCTACAAAGAGGTCTTCTTAATAGACAGGTGGTCTGTACAGTCAGGTGTTCTTGATAGACAGGTGGTATATACAAAGAGGTCTTCTTAATAGACAGGTGTTCTTAATAGACAGGCAGTCAGTACAGACAGGTGTTCTTGATAGACATGTGGTTTCTACAGAGGTGTTCTATATAGACAGGTGGTCTTTTAAACATGTGGTCTATATAGATGGATGATCTTTTATAGAGGTGTTCTATATAGACATGAGATCTTTTACAGAGGTGGTCTTATATACATATGATCTTCTACAAAGGTGTTCTTGATAGACAGGTGGTCTCTACATACATATGATCTTAATAGACAGGTGGTCTGTACATACATGTGTTCTTAATAGACAGTTGACATTTTACAGTGGTGTTCTATATAGACAGGTGATCTTTTACAGAGGTGTTCTATATAGACAGTTGATATATTATGGAGGTGTTCTATATAGACAGTTGATCTTCTAGAGAGGTTCTTTATATAGACAGGTGACAGGTGATCTTTTAAACAGGTGGTCTATATAGACAGGTTTCATGTACATAATTATAAAACTGTTGAAATTCCTTCTGCAAGTTGAAATCTTTTTGAAGAACAATTAAACTATTATTGTTAATAATTGAGTTTAGTAATAAATGACAGAATAGAGAGATTTACTTCTGATGACGTGGTTACTGACTCACCAGCTGTCTGTAGTTCTCTACTGTAGCACTATACAGGTTATTGGCCAGAAAATTGTCAGCCATATTGTTATTAAAGGTGTCGTCAAGGTTACGAGTGTTAGTGGAATACATGTCCTTCTCAAAGGTGGATAATATAGCATCCACCTGGTCCAGACTGTTGTGAAGCTCCGCTAGCTGTTAGTGACACAATGAGGAATGGTCAGGTGAGATAACGAGCAAGGTTCAGGTGTGTACAATGCACTCTCATTTTTTTTAATTCTGAAGCAATAATTTATGACGTAAATTCATAGCTTTCAGATAAACCTACGGAAAACCATTTTTGAATTATTATTTTCATTCGTAAACATCTTTCATTGTTGAAGACATTTTTTATTTTTTCAAATTTTACCTTCTAAATTTCTTAAGCCAAATATTAAATGATGAAAATGACATCTGGTAATGAGAGTACACAATATATAACTACTACAATGTAACGGTACATACGGTTTTAACAATAGAAAACTAACAAAACACCAAAGTGAAACTTAAAGAATGCTAATTCAATTATGAAATAAATTTTCTCAACAGAAAAAAAAAGTCTTTAAGTTTCAATTTTACATTTTGTAGGTTCGCCATTAAGAAAAAATAATTCCATTTTACATTTGGAAACTAAATCAAACAGAATTTAGGACGGCAGTACCACCGATAAAAACTGTAACTGGACAATGGAAACTGTTATCCAGCATGACTGTGGCTTTGATAAATCAATTCTGAAAAGAAAACCATACCTTGTGGGACATTTATGAAAAATAACAGATTTGAAACAAATTTCACCAAAAGGTGTAAAAATTAAACCAAAAAAACCAGCGGGACTAGACCAGAATTTGAACCCTGGATACAGCTTTGTTATGTTACCTCTCTAACTGACT